CCTGGTGGCTTAAACTCACGCTGGGCGCATGTGCATGTGTGCCCAAGACTCTGAGAGGAGAATGGAGAAGGGATTGCAGCGTGGCCATCCCCCCTGGGGGTGATTTCTCGCTTTCTGTCTCTCTCTCTGTCTGTCTTTCTGGTGAGCGCACACACGCCCTAAGTGAAAACCTCTCTCTCAAAAAAAAGTAAATAAATTTTTTAAATAGAGTGATCAGGGCAGGCTTCTCAGAGGAGGTGACCTGTAATGGGAACCAGGAGAGACTCAGGAAGTCTATAAAACCTAAGGTCCAGTTCCCTTCTTGGGCTGATGGCAGTGTTCTCTTCGAGAGAAGTCGTGAACTGTAGGGTGCTCTCCACCCTCCCTGCCCTGACCAAACTCTGAAAAGTGAGAGGGAAGCCAGGAGGCCTGGGGCAGGAGGTGTTCCTGGGGCACGTGCAGGACCGAGCTTGCAGGCTTGGAACAGGAGCCGTCCAGGAACGGGGTGGCCGTGGACTCGGCCTACACACTGTGGAGAGCACATGTCGCTGGGCGAGTGTCCAGAGGCCATGGGGCTGCCAACCGGGGGAGGGTGGTGCTGGGACTGAGCAGGGCCTCTAGGCGGCCCCTGCCTCTGCCCAGCCATCCACGGTCCTCATCCTCCCACCCTTCCCCGACCTCTGTGCCCTGCCCCTCCTCCCCTAGAAAGCCACGTCCCGACCCCCTCGCCCAGTGCTCTCCCCATGCCTTCTGCTCTGCACAGGCCCTGGGGGCACCCCTGGGCAGCGGTGGGGCATCTTGTGGCAAGGCAAGGCCAAGGCCGGCATCCGCTTTCTCTCTCGCCCCCTTCCCCACCGCCAGGTGCTGGGGGATGACAGAGGAATGAGCTGCTGGTGTCTCTCCCAAGGAGCTGGCAGAGAGGGGGTGTGCCAGACCCTCTGGGGCAGGAGCTGGGGCAGCTGGGGAGGACCCAGGCGGCTTGCTGTATGTGCGGTGTGACCTCAGGGAACTGGCTGTGCTTCTCTGAGCCTCCATTGCTTTGTTTGCAAAATCCTGCAATCCCAACAACAGTCCCAGAAAGAAGCAGGAGAGTGGCGAGATCAGGCCCGAACCCCAGTAGCCAGGCCTCCCTGCCCCCCGTCCCCCCACAGCTGCTCAGAGCCAGGGGAAGAGAACCTGGGCGCCCAGCACCAGCCAGAGCCTGAGCTAATGCCAGCAAAGCTTTCAGCAGCACGGGGAGGGGAGCGGGGCGCTGCGGGGAGGAGGCCCCGCCCTCGGGGCCTAACCACAGCCACCCTGGTGGCCCCAGGGGGCCAGGCCCGGTACTGCTGGGTTTTGGGGGCACAGCAGGGTGTGGGTAGGGAGGCCAGGCAGCATGGAGACAGAACTCTGTCCTCACCCTCGGGCTCCGCCCTGCGCAGCGTCCAGACCCAGGCCCACCAGAGACATGAGGTCCGAGGGAGGGCCCAGGAGCGTGCGGGGTAGGAACTGGGTGTCCCTGACAGCCCTGGGGCCCGCCAAGGTCAGCCCTGGGTGCAGCCATAGGTGGTCCATGGACAGATGAGCATGGGCAGGACTCCCTGAGGGGCAGAGCTAGGCCACCTGAGCCCAGGGTCGGGCACCACCCACTGCTGAAACGAACCCATTTTCTTACCAGACACCTCCTCCAGGCAGCTTGGTGAGGAGGGTTTTACAAGATGCAGGTTTTCTTTTTTTAAACATGACTTTTTGAAAACATTATTTTACTTGACTTTATTTATTATTTATTTTAATTTGACCAGAGAGGGACAGAGTGAGAGAGAGAAAAAGAGAAAGTGAAAAAGGAAGCCACCAGGTCCAAGACTCAAACCGTAGTTGGCCGTGTGGGAGGCAGTCCAGCCCCCTCAACCACCACATCACATGCCGGCCCCAGAAAACGCAGTTTTAAGCCAGGCAGTGGTTTGGTGGTTAAGGTGACTGTACCCCACATGGTCGACTGGTTCGAGTCCCAGACCTGACAGTTTGCTGTCTCACTTTTCCTCTCTCTCTCGTCAAATTAAAATAATAATAATAATAATTAGTGGAACTAACTAAATAATTTTTAAAAACCAAATAAGTAAATAAAAATGCCCGTTTTTCCCGGGGAAGAACAGGAGGTTGGGGACAGCAGACTTGCCCACTGTCGCAGTGCTGGGAGCAGCTGACAGCGGTTCGGCCTCCAGGACCCGTCCTGACTGTCCCAGGCCAAAGCATGGCCCCTGCGAGAAGCGCGCTGCTCCCCAGCTGGCCCGTCCTGGCAGCCGCTCCAGGCGCTGCTGGGCCCCTCTTCTCCCTCTCTCCTGCAGCTGGGGAGAGTCACGGGCACAGGAGGCAGGGCCGGGCCTGCTCTGTGCCATCGAGCCGCCTGGCAGCCTGGGGCTGGGGCTCAGCTGGTGCCAACACCAGAGCCGCCTGTGCCTCACTCTCTATTTCCTCCCTGGTCAAAGGAAGGTGCAAACAGGAGCCCGAGGGAAAAGCAAGTGACAAACGAAGTTTACAGGAGGATCGAAGAGAATACATAAAATATTCCAGAATAAACTTACCCGAGGAGGAAAAAGACTTACACCCCGAAACTTCAACCCCCGCCAAGAGGCGG